AACCTCCTTTGCTTTGTCATGGAAATTGTCCTTGAAAAACACTAGTTAGCATAAGGGCAACTTGATTTTCATAATAAAGCTAGCCTGCGTAGCAAGCGTTTCCTCGCGAGGTTCGTCTAGAAAGCTGGGACGAGAGCAAAAAAAAATTTCGCGCAATAACTCGAGTGGAAACGCTTGCTACGCAGGCTATAATAAAGCAGCAAGGTTTGTATTAGAACAAGGTCAACTCGAACCTCGCTTCCATCCATAACTGTAAATTGGCCTATAGACCAGTGATAAGAAGACATTGATGCTATTCACTGTTTGAAAATGCTGACAAAACAGTTATAATCCAATGGCTTTAATGTGTAAAAGGAAAAAAAGTTTCCACCTATCTATAACAATCTTCAAATCATTTAAAATCGTATCACTGATCATGAGGTCAATAAAAGGAGAAATCAGCCGAGATCATTTATAATCGAAAAACAAAGACTAATGCCAGTAGAAATTTTGCAAGTCAGCGAACTTGAAATAATTCTCAAAATACTTTCACCACTGAAATCCTTAACAATTTTTAATACAAATAATCGGTCGAAAAATACAATTTTGCAAGCTAACCAGCTAATGCTTAAGAGTTGCTTAGAAGTTTAAGTTAATTTCAAACTGAACTGATTTGCAACATTAGCAAGTTGAACCTATTTTTTATCACTTTTCGTTTTCCTTTGCAAGTACACTTATAAATTCTGCGTTTTCTCTTCCAGGGCTTTGATTCGCTTTTCCTGTTCGTCCACTTGCAATTTTAGCTTCTTCACCAATTCCTCTAGATCCTATAGAAATATGGAAAACATAAAAAAATTACTGCATCAGAAACCCTCTTAGGACAGTTGAACCTCCATGTGCGACTACCTCATGTAAGCGACCACCTATCCAAAACACCAAAAATTTCCCCGTCGAGGCCTTACAGATGGAACTTCTCGTAAATGACCAGCTTCTGTAAGCTACCGCGACCACTTTTCGGGACTGACGGTCTAATAATTTCCCAACCGCTTTCAACCTCTTGTAAGCGACCATTATACTTGACGAGTGGTCTCAACTCCATGTTCAGTGTAGGTTCTTTAGTGCTATAATAAGGGCTACGAGTCCTCAGCTTCTACGTTCGCAAGATTTAGATCAACTTTCTTGGCTTAGAAGGAGTAAAAATGAGCAGTAACGTTTAGTTTATTGGCTTAGTTACCCTGTAATCAGAATGATTTGCTTGAATACAGGTCGAGTGCGGTTCTATAATCAAAGGTGATAATATGCAAATTCCCTTCAGGTTGGCGGCAAATTGAAATTTCGTAGGACAGAAATTTCTTACGATTGCGTTGTCAGTGAAGGATATTGAACAAGAACTAAAAAGTCCTCCAAGCGAGCACTCTCCCGTAAGCGAGCATTAAGTCTTCGCATTCTAGTTGGTCGCTTACGGGAGGTTCGACTGTACAATGAACACTCTCAAAACAGACACTGCCCTGAAACTAGCCTGTATAACTAATTAACGGTAAGTTATCGACCAAGCGTGAAGTCAAGTAGACTGCAAAACAGTCGGTTTCGGTTTTTTGCTCAAAATCGGTTTTGCAAGGCGTGAAGCCCTCCCTCACTGTTTTCACCCTCATTCCAGACCTTTCCTTTGAACACTCGCGCACGCGTTCTTAATCCACACAAAAATACGGGCTGATTTGCAGTCTAGAAGTCAAGATGACCATATATTAGAGAGATTAAGATTCACGTTTACGCCAAACGGCAGACGCGATTTGTACCACGTGACCAAGTTTCCCCCTTATTTTCCGTTTACTCTTTATTGCTTCTACTAAAAAATAAGCAGTTTTATGCCAGTTTTAACCATAGGAATCGTTCAGGGCTGTTTTTATCTTCTTATTTTCTATTCTGAGAAATTCTCAACTTTAGTCTGACGTTTGCCGTTTGCGGTTAACTTGAATCTTAATCTCTTTATTGGCCACGTTCTTTCTTTGCGTTTCAGGGACAGAGACAAGGTTGAGGTCCATAAAAACGGGATATTATATGGCCTTAACACAATCTTTTCTTGCCACACAAAACAGGTAGTCCCACTGAATCGTGTCCGTCGTATAGAGAGTTAACTCGATATGAAAATATATCAATTTCAAGCTTTGGAATAAAGCCGGAAATGACCCTGCGATACCACTACACCGATATCACAGGATCAGGGTTTGGGCTCCGTGGAAGCCTAATTTTTCACGCTTTTCACAAGTGCTTAAGTTGGGTATATAGACTACAAGAGCCTCTTGTCCACTGAAAACAGATAAGAGATTGGTATTAATCCCTGGATGGGAATTTGGTCCATTATAAGGTTTCCTCCCAGCACTGAGTGTGTCACCAGTTTTCATTATACATCTGAGAAGAGGAGACAATATTAAGCAAAGTTTCTTGTCTAAAAGAAGAGTGCAATGGCAAAGACATGGCCAACCTTATCCCTTAGGACAAAAGTCCACGCTTTGCATCTGCTATTAGTACCACCGACTACAGTGAAATTCAACACAGCGAGATGAGAAAGGACATTCACCCCAACTAACATCTAGCCCCATTTCCCTCACTCAACACGCACAAGGTACAATGCACCACCAAAGCCGTCTCATTGCCTTTCAAACAACAGAGTAGTTCTGTCCTTTTGAATTGACAAGGTTGGGCAAAGGAGAAAGAGTCAAAGAATAACAACCGTCCTAGGTTAATGATGTTCTCATCTGAGCCAGGAAATAACAGCCATCACTTACCTCTTCATCAGCAGCCTGTGCTGATTTCTTTGGTGGTTTTTTGCCAAGTCCCCCAAGTCCCTTTTTCACCTTCTTTGCAGCCTTGGCTGCTCCGGAACTGTGCGGCTCAAGCGAGATCAGTTTGGGATCTGCATCTTTTCCGTCAAGCCACTCATCAGCAGTGAGGGAAGGTTCATCTCCTTTTGTATCAGGAAAGAGATCTTTTTGGAAAAGTTCAGACTGTAAAAGAGAACAATAACTGTGGTCACACTACGGACTTTTACCTAGTTTAAACTGATTTACCTAGGGCAAATTCATCAAAAAATCTCCCGAGGTAAATTCACCTCGGGTTTTGTTTTACCTAGGTAAAAAATTCTGGGAAGGTCACACTACTGATACACTACAAGTAGTCCCTATTTTCCCTCAGGAATAGTAGAGCGAGCGAAACGTGAGCGCGCGTGAAAATCACCCCACGCAAAAAAATCTCTCCTCCGCGTCTCGCCTTTCTCGCGCGGGGTTATTTTTACGGGCGCTCGCGTTTCGCTCGCTGTTTTATCCCTGAGGAACAATGGAGACTACTCGTAGTCTACACTACTGATATCGGCTCCCAAGGTTTTCACACACAGTTGAATTTTTTGGAGCGTAAATTCAAAAAGGCAAGATGCGTAGGGATCCAGCCGATCAAAGAGACGTTTTTTTCTTTCATCTCGCTGTTATTTCTTACGCTAATTCAACGTGCAAGGTAAAGACAGGCGAAGACGTAGACGACTCGTGCCCCAAAAATTTCTTTCACCGCGTGAGCTATGTCCGGTTCTGTCATCAAGACCTTCGCCGATGAGCGTCTATTGGCTAGCAACCTCGGTATTTCTTTTTTCCTAAGCAATAGCTTTGGGGTAGCTGTCAAGGGAAAGTCTATTGTTCTCACGACATATCCAAGCCCTAGACGATAAAATTTCCCCGTGGTAAGTTACCTAGGGAAAAATCGGTCACATCAAGTTTCGCTAGGTAAACTGTCAACAAGTCGAGTTTACCCAGGTGACCACAACTAATATGGGAAGCCTTGACAATCAGATCTGTATGTAAAAGGCGACAATGCAGGTCAAAGATAACTGAACCAAAACGATTAACTGCAGAATACCCTACCTCTTTTCATTATAAATAGGCTGATTTAGCAACAGAACGGGAGCGTCAGTTGACGACGGCGCGCGCAGATCAAACAACTGGCTTGACCAATGGCAGAGCGGCAAATTGGGCACCGGAAGTCGAGTTTAGTCCTTTCCGCGCGCTTTCCCGTCGTCAAATGAAGTTCCCGTTCTGTTGCTAAATCAGCCTATTATACATGATCAGGAAAAGACATTCACAAATCCAGCACCACAAGACGCTGGGGTCACTAATCGTCAGTTAATTTTCGTTGTAATACCGTAAAATTCCAAAAATAAGCCCCTCCATGTATAAGCCCCTCCAAATATATGCCCCCCAAACCAGTAACGCAAAAAACCCTCCGCTAAATCGCCCCTCCAAATATAAGCCCCCTGGGAGCTTGTACTTGGAAAATTGCCCTCAAATACAAAGTAAAACAAAGCAAAAACAGTAAAATTTACTTCCAACTATAAGGCTAGCTCAATCGATTTTGAAATGCAAATTCCCTCCGTAGATAAGCCCCTCCGAATATAAACCCCTCCAAAAATAAGCCCCTCAAAGAGGGCCTTTGAAAAATATAAGCCCCGGGGCTTATTTTCGGAATTTTACGGTATTTGGAACCGCTGAGACACTTCCTTGACACTTCCCTAATGTAATATGTATATGTACATCTATATGTTCTCAATCAAATATATCTATAAGTATATATTTACTTTTTATTTCATTTCAATTTCGTTTTTTTTTATTTTTTCATTGTCTTACATTTTTTTAAAACTATTTTTTAGTCTTTACAGAGTTTTCTTTTGAGAACTTAACCGTAAACCACTCCTTGCGACGTTGGCATTCCTCATTAAAGATTGCTTTACCTCTTAAAATACTTTTCATAGCTGGCTATGCGGTACGCAGAAACTAATTAAGTGAGAAATACATTCAAAACGGCCTCCTGCGTTCCATAATGGTTATGTGTGCTACGTACACAGAAACTAATTGACCCCTCCGCACACTAAACTTGCTACGAGTCGACCTTTCATAAAATCTTAAAAGTGAGTGAAGCGAGCTCCATTAAATGAGGTCGCGCAGCGACCAAGCGAGCGACGATAACTAACCAAGCAAAAAAAGGACTTTTAGAAAGTCTAACCGCACACCACATAGCCAGTTTCTGAGCTAGCTTTCTACCTTGGCTTTATCTCTTTCCCCATTATTTCCTACTGCTGGCCCTTTCGCACAAACTTCTCGCAGTACTGGGAGACACCAACTTCTAGTTACCGTAAGTGATCAAATGGATCATAATACGCTTCTGCGAAACTGCCCACCTACCCCTCCTTTAAGCCAACATTTTGCCCTAAGTGAGAAGTAAGTGTTAATGTTGGCCTAGGAGAGGGGTAGCTGGGCAGTTTCCAGGAAACATACAATGATCCTAAAACGCCCCCTGTCAGACTCGTATCCAGTCGCTATTCAAGTGTTTTTTGGGATGAGAGAAGATTGGGGATTAGGTTGAGGCGCGCGGGGGTAATCCCCAATCTTCTCTCATCCCAAAAAACTTTTAAATAGCGACTGGGTATAAGACTGGGTACGAGTCTGGCCCCCTGTTTAGTAGAAGTCCCGCATGACAATTGCTACAAAATACAGTCGACTCCCGGTAACTCGAACCTTCTATAACTCGAAGCAATTTTCATTTCCCTTCAGATCATTTTCCATATGATTTTACTCTCGATAACTCGAACTCCCGATAACTCGAACTGTTTTCTATTTGCCTTGAAGGTTAGAATTATCGGGAGTCCACTGTACTACGAAATAACAAAATAGAGCAAATTTATTTCAGGGTTTGCGCACTGAATTTTGTTTAATGTCAAGCCGGTTCAAAGTGAGGACACTAAGAACGATCATGAGGAAATGAAGAACCCATACGAGAAGGTTCGATGCAAAAAACCTGTATTTAGGGTGGGGGGGGGGGGGGGGGTGCACCCCAAAACCAAAAAAAAACCGGAGGAATATAACCAAAGATATCATTAAAACACAAGGTAAGTGGGTTACCCCGGGTCTTTTGCCTTTTGTCTGTAAAGAACGGGTGTAAACAAAGGTGTAGAACAAAAGTGTAAAAGAAAGATAATGGAGTGACGGAAAGAAGGAAAAGGATAGGAAGAAGTAGAAGGGGGAGGAGGGAGGAGAAAGGGGGGATAGGTGGGGTGGGGGGGGGCAGGTGGTGGGTGGGTGGGGGGGGGGGGGAGGTACTCACCTATACATGAACAATAACCGAAGTATATCATCCAACGTTATATTCTAAGCAAAGATGACGTGGTTTACACCGAGTTTGTGACCGTTTGATGTTAAAGACCAGGTCTAACAATAGGTGTAGAAAATAGCACTTTGGTAATGCTTTGGATTTGGAGGACCGGGCGGTACACCTCTACCAAGAATTTCTAGGAGTCTTTCAAACTTAAACTCCCGTCTTTTAATCTTGTTTTACCTTACCTAGAACCAATTAGCACAGTTTTTACCGACGTGATCCGTAAGTCCGCATTTTATACCTAAAATCTAGGATACTCAACTTGGGTCACACTGCTCTGATACCTGTCTTTCTCTCTTCCAATGTTGTTTTGTAATGGTTTTTCGGTGGACTTGACAGTGGATACAGTGGATGTTTTCAGTTCGAATCTGCATTCATAAGTTTCCAAAAGATAGTCCACATGCGAAGAACCGTTTTCGCCCACGTGAATCTCGTTTGCTAGCCTGGGGCCAATATTACAAAAGTGATCGTTAAAGGAATCGGATAATTCAAGTGGATCATGAATGGAATTGCCATTATTGAGTTTAATTTCTTTTACAAAGGAACTCTTCGATTTTCTGGATTTAAGTTCGTTTATGATTCGCCAAGTGTTAAGCAGGTCTCCCGTCGATTATCTTTAAACGCATTGTCAAAATAAACTTCTTTAGCAAACTTAACTTCACTATTTGTAGAATTACGGATTTCTTGAATTTTTTAACGCCAATCATCAACACTTCCCGAATCAATCGCTTTTAACTTGAGAATGTCTCTTTCGTGTAAGCGTTTTTTTTTAACTGAGGGGTAATCCATGGTGAATTACTCGAGCGAACACGTTTAGTAATATAGTCGGTCAACTGTTTTATCTTTTCTTTGCCAGTATCACAAAGAAGAACATTATATGCTACGCTGTGTTTTCTTTTGCTGTATCTGTAAGAAGGTGGAATTATAATGATCGAGGTGAGTGTATTAAGTCCTCAATAGGACTGAAGTTGACATACCGTACCAGCATTTCAGCAACCCGTGCGGAAGTCATCTTGGATGTCAAGAGCATAACTTCGTTAATCTTTTTTTGACATGACTTCTGGGCTCCAATGACATAAAATTATTATTATTATTATTATTATTATTATTATTATTATTATTATTATTATTATTATTATTATTATTATTATTATTATTATTATTATTTAAATTACAGGTAAAAATACCTTTCTTGGGACTGTAAAGCTGACTGGTTCACAGTAATCAGTTGATCCTTTAGAAGTAAGTTTAAAACACTTTGCTACTTCATTGGTGTTGACATTGCAGCCACGTTTTGGCATGTAGCACACTCCTCGCTGGGCTAAGTTGGCACTGTAGTTTGTTAGCCAATAGCAGTGTGGAGATTCTGACACTAATTCATAATATCTGATGATGCTGTCACCCTGTTAAGAAAAGCAACCAATAATTTCAGTCTTGAAGACATGTCATTACTATGACAGTCATACGATACTGGTACTGAGTCAAAATATGTCCACAAATTTGTCTTCACTTAATAATAAAAACTCTTGGCTAAAGAACTTTGACAACTGGTTACATGAAGAATTTAAATAAATGCCGATTGGCCATCTAGAGCTTGCGACCCATGCATAAGTTGAGGGACACAGTGGGACACCTCTATTCAGCCTAATCAGGGGACACTTGGCTTGTTCCTGAGGGTGTACCCTGTTTAGAGGTTCCAATAGAAGTTTAATCCAATGGAGGAATAGAGGTTTCATGGCTGTGAAAGGTCGACTTGTACACAATTAAGTATGGTAAAAAAAATGAGGCTTAGCTTCTTTCCTTCTTGGGGATTCTAATTTCAAAGTTTATCAAAAATAATTAGTTTCTTTGAAGACAACTTTACCCTCAAGTTTGTCAGAATCGTATAACCCTGAGGCATCTGAATTCCCCTCATTCATTTAGAACCACGCTGGAGTTTTTTAGCCGTCCAATCAGAAGCACATAAATTGTTTGCCCAAATTTGGAATCATAAAATTGAAGGCCTTCCTCTTTCAAAAAATAGCTAATAACGGATTCTTCTAGTCCTTATCAATTCTCCAACTGAATAGTACACACTGTTGAGCCTTTTACATTTTTTATATCACATAATCAATGGACAAAAACAATAAATACATTACAAATAGTGGAGAAAACAGAAGACTTATTCCAAAAGGCCTTTGTACATTGCTGTCAACCTTAGAAAACTATGAGGTAAAAAGGTCACATTATGTTGACACATACTCTTTTAAGCGCGCTAGCTTTCGTCAGGCTTGCAAGATGCTAATTATAATTAGTTGACTTTTTCTTGTTCGAAGGAAGTCATCCTGGCTATTTTGGGAATCATTCTGATTTTGGTCGAATTTAACTTTCTAACACTGCAATTGCCTTTGTACCACTTTGCTTACACCAACAGTCTTGCACATCACATGATCAGTAATTCCATATTAAATTAAATTTTGATTAATTTGTTTTCCAAAAAAACCCTACATTAGAACAGAGCTACACGCTTTAGGGTTTTATGCTTCTAAGTTTATGGAATTAGACTCTTCCCTTTTCACAAACTTACAATATATTAAATGCCTATAAAACATTAACAATACACGACTTTCATTATGGTGGACCACCCGGGCAGAGTGGTAACTAACCGCATCAGAGCAAGGCATGTAAGGCCACAGTAACCAAAACAAATCAAAGTGACGTGATGCGATGTGACACGAAGCATTCTTATCTAGCACGAAATATGTTGTAGAGCATGTAGTTTCTGGAAGAACAAGATATTCCTGGAGGGTCACTTTGCGGTCGAAGACTGTCTGAATTAAAGAACAAAGAACTTAAATTTTGGTTGAAATGCAGAGGTGATCCAGGCAAAGGCCTCAAAACCAAAGCTGAACTTGTAAAGAGGTAAGACAGAGATCGCTTTGTAATCTTACTTACATTCTACCAATCACTTGTAAGATTTGTTCAAGTTTAATAATCATCTGATATCTTTATCAGGGTAGAAGAGTACATCAAGATTGGAAAGGACAAAAATATTGTGGATCCCGAGCCAACTGGTCTGTACACCAAGTGAAAACAGAAACGCATTGGAGTCAGAGCTACATCGAGTATTACGGAGTCCTCACATGGTGATGCTAGTAATAAACCATCTGTCAAGTATCTCACTGATAGATGGAGTACGTCTCTTGAAAAGATGCCTATGTTCAGCAGGGCAGAAATGAATGAGCACATAGCCAGATTGGGAAAAAGTATTTCCACTATTCAACATCATTCTGTGCCAAAGTCCTTAACAAAAGTGAAGACATTCCTTGAAGATGAATATCTAAGGGAAATAACTGCTGCGAGTGATGACCACTGTTGTTTAACAGGAAAACACCTGCTGCTGTACTTAAAAGTGGATTCATTGTATCCGAAGCATTTCCTATTCTTGGCGCATCACTCGATGTCAAAGTTATTGACTTTGGAAGCTCTATTTGTTTTGGTTTAGCTGAGGTGAAATGTCCTCATACCAAGTTTCACGTTGAGGCATGCTCGGACCCAAATTTCTTCATGGAGAAGATAAGTGACACACAATGTAGACTTAAAAGGGACCATGTCTACTATGGCCAGGTCCGGGGACAAATGGGTGGGACAGGTGCCAAATGGGAAAGGGATCTATATTGAACAAATCGCATTTGATCCTGTCTACTGGGGTAACCTTAAGAATGAACTTCTGCGGTATTATTTTGAACATTTCTTGAAATTTGCATCAGCAGATTTCTATAACTCTGCTTAAAGTACTTTAAGTAAAGTTTTTATTTCTTTACATTTACACTTTTATTAAGTTCATGGGCTAATAAATGCTAATATTACTTAACCTTTTGAGCCCTAATATTAAGTAACTAGCATTAAATTTGTCCCTAAAAATTTTATTACTTTATTGAAGAAATCAGTTATTACCAAAAATATAAGAAGGAAGGAGTGGAGAATTTTAAATTGATATTGAGGAAATTAAGCTCCACATGTATGCGCAGACTGGCAATTTCTTGAGTGCGAACTACATCATTTGCTGGCATTTGTGCGGAGCTACCAAGGAAGGGTGGGATGTTTAGTGATACTCGCAAAGGGAGCAAATCCTGCATGGTAAATCCCTTGTCAGCGATAATGGAATCTTTTTCCTGGAATGGCAAATCTAACAATCTACTTCTTACTACTATTTCCCTATCAGAAATGCTCCCACCATACAACTGGCTAATAATGGAGAAATGCCAACCCTCTCAGGGTTGTGTGGTGTTTGTAGTTACTAAATAATTCCCCATTTAAGTGTAGTCTACAGAGCATTTGACATGTGACCTCAGTGCAATCTATGATAACTCTGGTGGAGCTGTACTTTTGTTGAAAATCTTCAGGCATAGTCTCATTAACCTTCCCTCCTGTGGGCCAAATGTTTATTTGACCAAGTTTTGAATACATAAAATTGATCCACGTGATAGAAATCCAACGGACTGTTGATACTGAAACTCGAAAAAGATGTGCCAAATGTTCTTCAGCAAATCCTTGCCTCAGTCTGCACATAACTGCAAAAAAGTCCTCAACCTCAACGATCTTGATCTTCCTCTTTTTCTGATTAGTTCTTTATTTTCACCCTCATACACTGCTTCTGATGCATTCAAATTTAACTTTGAGACCCAGTATGATATATCTTGCACTTCATTTCCTGTTTTTAAGTATTTAAAAACAGCATCAAATGTATCCCAGTTTGGAAGACCAGCAAAAAACTTGATAGAGGAGTCATCACCACTAAACTTATCAACTGTAAACATCTGCTTTTGAAGAGACTCAATGCACTGATTTGCCTTCTCAAGTTGAGATTTCAGGTCAATCAATTGCTGTTTCATTTCTGTGTTGGTGTTATTTCTGGACTCAATTTCATTTGTTTGCATTGCTACATCCTGTTTGGCAATAGCATCAATATCATTTGTTTTACTTTCTTCGTTGCATGTAGTGTTTTCTGTTTCTACCGTTTCTTCTACCATTTCTATTTCAGAAAAGAGAACACGGCTTCTTGTAACAATTTGTTCGCGATCGGTGGGAGCTTTCAGCTAGCGAGGAAAGGTTTGAGTCCAAGGATAGAACAGCATGCGATCACAGATCTCTCCTACTACTGAGCATCTTGATAAAATCATACTCTTTAAAATGCCTTGAGCAAACTAAAGTCCATTCCTGTATCTGAAAATACACTCCCTCATCTCATCTAATAGCGTGAATCCATGTTTTTTCGTCGAAGTAGATCAACTGGAAACTTGAAGTGAGAAACTTTTTTCCCATTTTTGTCCAGACAACATTTCTTTGTACATTCAAGAATGCAGCAGCTTGTAGGCATTTTTCTTCCAATCAGCGATAGTTAAGCGATAAACTTCCCTTGCAGATAGTGAAGGTTAACTAAATTTCTACTTTTTTACGCCAAAGCAACAAGAACAATTCGACAAGCCAAATAAATTTGGAAGGCATTTGCATGTTTTTCCACATGACTGCTCTCAGAGATAAATAGAGTTGCCTTACTTGCCTCGCTCTGATGTGGTTAGTTCCCACTCCCCCTGTGCGGTCTGGCATTATGAAAGTCGTGTATGGTTAAGTACCAGCAGGGTGCAAAGAAAGTCAGTTTTACAGCTTGCCCTTCCGGCAAGCTGTGACTAGCATTTACTAGTCCAGGAGTCATTCTGACTAGCCCCACAAAATTCATTTGCCTGCTCACAAAATCATTTAACTAGACACAACTTTCTCTGCAAGCTGAACCAGCTGTAATTCCAGTACAAGAATGAATGTAGCCAACAATGATATGAATGAAACTTACCTTGCCAGCTAAGTAAATCATCTTTGTGTCAGGGTCATAATGAATGAAAAGGACAGCATTAGACTGATCAATTTCCTCCAAGGTCAACTGCTCCAGAGTTTTCTGTACAAAAAAAGGAAAAAAAAAAGGTTTTTAATTACTCGCTGACAGGTTTTGACAAAAATCATGCACTACCCTGAGTAACAGAAAATCATTCCTTTGTCTTTTGTGGTTTGTGAATGCCACAATGCATTCTTTAATGCAATGCAAAGCCATTGTATTGAGAAGCCTGGAAAGGTCCTCAGCTGCACTTGTCAGCTGCGTTTTCTACCAAAAAGGTTTGCCTGCATCTACCAGAACTGGAAATATTACCAAAATAAAGAAGAGAATCACGTTAATAGGTGTGGTTACAAAGGACACTTTTACCGTGGTAAACGACACTTCACTGCAGGAAATTGTTGTGGTGAGTTTGATCAGCCTTTCCCGAGATAAAGTTACCATTGGAAATATCCATGGATATGTCAAAAACCAGAAAGAAACCACTCATGACATTTAACGTGGCAAATAGTTGAGGTGCTTCAATGCCTTAGGCAAGAAAGCCAATAAGGATTCTTCATTAGACACACACGCTGTTTGAGAAAAGATCAATGTTGACATGGCATATTTTTAAAATGAAAGAAACAGGGAAATTTGAAGGAAAAATTTCAGCTAGTTTGTTTTGCTAGAGGTATGAATGATATTTCAAATATGTTCCATTATGCATCAGTCAATTCCACCTGAAACAAAAAATCGCACAATAAAATGCTTAAAATGGAACTACTCGACTGTGCGATCAATGAAAAATATTGCAGTGTTGACAGAGTATGGGGCATTTGCCCTCTTTTTTTGTCCCCACCCCGGGGGATTTGACAGCTCAAAAGTCCCCACCCTCGGGAATTTGCCATCCAAGGCAAAAAAATTGCCAATGCCTGGGGGTCAGCCCGGGGAGGGGGACTGTGTGCAGTTGGAATTGACTGACGCATTTTTCACTGAAGTGAAGGTGGCTAGTGGGGATTAATTAACTGAGCCACAAAGCGGTGAGGTAAATATCCATCACTAGCCACCAACACTGAGATGAATAATTGTTTTAGTATATACTAAAACAGTGAGAGAATTCAAAATTGTCATCAAAAATGTTTTTACATTGGCTGTCAGTTTTAAAGGTTCTTAGACCAATGATGAGCCAAATTTTCCTCTGCCAAATAACCTAGTTTCAAAGAAAATTGTGTTGCATAAAGAAGGTAGTGAATTCCAAGGACTCTCCAAGACCTAATCAAGAAATCAAGGACTCTTCAAGGACTTTAACAGAATTCAAGGACTTTTCACGGCCACTACTAAAATTCAAGACCTTTTCAAGATTGTACGAATCATGATTATATGACTAGCACAAATTTATCCCCTTTCATCATTTATTGTTAACAAATTTCAGAAAAATCAAACTTACTGCATTCCAAACTGCATACTGTCTAGCACTCATCCTTGAAAAGCCACAGGTGAACAGATAACCAAGATTTTCACAAAATGCCACCCTCTGTGGCTTAGCCCCTTCATGGCCACTGGCCTCCTGCAAAGCATAAGGAAAGCATGCTCAAAACTCTTTGTGCTGATATAAAAAGAAATCCATTCTGATCAACATACCATTGAAAAGGTTTTGGGTGAGGGATTTAAGCATGGCCTGCTTCATCTTCGCAAATTCACATCCAGACCTCCATCTTATGTTTTTAATATGCTGAAGCAGTTGGGAATTCTTAAATGCAGAGGTGGATCTAAAAGGATGGAAGCCACACTACAGTACATCCTGAGAACTGTAGAACGAAAAACTGAAGCCAGAGGTGATAGGAGGGAATAAAAACAGTAGAGATCTTAAGCAACAATGATGGCGATGGCAACAAGAAATTATGGGCAAAAATAAATGGGCTTAGATTGGCAAAACAGCAACTCATGCATCACGGTTTTTTTCACATTGCCAATGTTGCATGACTACAGCCTGAAACTTTATTTACATGGCTTACAGGTCACATTTGACAGGTTTGCATGTCTAGCAGCAACTCAGCAAAAGCAAACACTTGAATCAATTCACTCCCACCTTAACGACTTCTCCATTTCGTGCATTGATAACTCGAATTTTCTTGTCTTTGCATGTTGTTGCAATGAGGCTTCCATTGGTATTCCAGTCAACACTGTAAATAAGATCTGGGTGACAGTCAATTTCAACGGCAGCCTCTCCAGTCTCCAAATTCCAGATGACAATTGAGGGGTCATAACTTGCACTAAGAAGAATGTTGGCTGCTGTAGGGTGCCATAGAATCTGATGAACTTTTCGCTGGTGAAGCCCTTCTAGAGTTAGCAAGGGCTCAGTCAGGATTGTCTTGCCTAGCCCTTCATCTGGAATCTGCCAAATCTTAACAGTGGTGTCTTCAGAGCAAGAAGCTATCATATTGTCATCAAAAGGATTCCAGGCCACGTCCAAGACATCTTGTTTGTGACCACCAACACGTCCATGCTCAGGATCAAGCCTGCCTACCTACAGTAAATAAAGAGAGGTTTAGAATGATGTAATACTGTATTTCCTTGAATATGTGCCCACGCTCTAATAGGTACCCTTCCCCAAATAAGCACCCACTGCCTAGGCCATAATATCAAACAAGCACCCCTCCTTGACTAAGCCTCTTCTCCTCCTCACTTTCTTAAAAAGTAGGGATACAAGGGGAATGTTCAGATTTGCATATCACTGACGAGGATGATCTTGAGGATGATTAGATAATCAATATTTTATAACCATGCATACCGATGCATTTGTGTGTAAGATGTTTAGTGGAACTATAGTATGCTTGATTAAAACTAAAGTTTTAACAAAGGGGGGAATTATTAATATTAACTTTATTATTCTATTAAAGACTTAGACAAAACAAAGTTACACTTTCTTAATAGGAAAACTTAATAAGCATCCCCCTTGATTAAGCACCCTCCTTCCAAAAAGGGCCTCCTTTTAGCCGTACCTTTAAATAAGCGCCCAGGTGCTTATGAATTCAAGGAAATATGGTATTCATCACATCTAGGGCTTCTGATATTATGTTAGCCTTAAATCTGATAGCACAATTCAAGGGAAACTTTGGTAACTGGTAAAAAATGGCTCTATTCAAGTAAAGCAAACTTTGGTTTCTACTTTAATTTAACATTCTCCCAGGGTTAATTCTATTTCAGGTTGATTTACCACTAAACAAGACTTAACAGACATCTGAAACCTTTGACTCTGGTTGTTTGTGATTGCTGGGTGGCCAAAAGAGCAGCCATTATGATAATTTCAAAGACAAACAGCGCGGACAGCATTTACATTACACATCATGTAATATCACAGCAAGTTTCCTTTTCCTTTCACTCTATTAGTTTTCTTTTGGACAAAATTTAGCTACTTTGTTCTAAAAAGGATGATTGATTATTTTTCCCACTCAACATTGTGTATCAAACAACATTGAATGGATTTATCTCGTCTGAAACCTGCTAAAACAAGGTAAAAAAAAACAGAGGGCACGAATGGCAACTACATAGCAGGGAATTACTATGTATGATGGGGCATAGCTGTTCATGATTTTGTACATTTGTATAGCAGAATAGCCTATCAAATGCCAACAAGAAAATATTGATTTTTAGGTTTTGAAACAAGGCTGCAGCCAAATGAAAATATATAGTCACGCAAATCACAAGGATCTTCAATTGCCGCTTTGCCAGTGTGGTTGTCTGGAGGGTGTAGTGGTTATTACCATGGGGACATGGATTCAAATCCAACTCAGGGTAGAATTTTCTTTCAAAGATTATTTTATTCTGTTGATATGATTATTTGGGGTGTATAGGGTCAGTAGTTGTTACTTCTCATACAGGTATAGATAGATAGATAGATAACTTTATTTAAACACGGTTAAAATTCCTTCAGCAAGTACAAAAAATCTAAGATCTATTATACCTAACTAAACTATCTCTGATTAAAAATATATTCATAAAATTTTAACTACCTAGCTATTCACAAATAAAAGCTGCTTTTCAAGGATGCCGTGTAAAACTGTATTAATGTATGATCTCATTCAAAACTGTTGCGACACAGTTTGCGTTTAAAATCATGTAAAGAATCTGCAGATCTTAAATCATGGGATAGGCTGTTCCACAGCTTAGCTCCGCTATAGGAGAAACTTTTCTTTAAATAATTGGTACGGGGCAGTGGAAGGACTAATTTATTTTCAGTATTCCTCAATCGATAAGAAGTTATTTCGTCACGAGATACAAATTTAGATGTTAGATAGTCGGGAGTCATCCCATGTACGGTTTTATACATCATAATAGCCGTCGATACTTGTCTTTGGTGTTTAAGCTTACGCCAACCCAGTGCCAGGAACAAATCGTCCACATTACAATCAGAATTAGCGGACATTAGAATACGGGCTGCACGATTTTGGAGCCTCTGCAGCTTATCGGAAAGACCAATGCCGCAGTTGCTCCATACGACATTACAGTAATCAAAATGCGGTTGAATTAAACTGTCGTAAACATTAATTAATACATTAAAAGGAATAAGATGTCGTATTCTTTTAATTGCACCCAAAGCAGAAGCAATCTTTTTACAAATACTCTGTATGTGGCATTCCCAGCTTAAGTTTTGGTCAATATGCACTCCAAGAGATTTTGCCGTTGACACTTGCATCACGGGATGGTCGTTTATCATAAAAGAAGGAGTTTCAGAAAGCTTTGATAGCTTCTGCCTCGACCCAACTAACATAAACTCAGTTTTAGTCAAGTTAAGGGTCAGTTTGTTAGCCGATAGCCATATATACACCTTGTTTAAATCGTCGTTAACGCAGTCATTTATGAGTTTTAAATCTGCGCTGGCATAGGTTAGGCTGGTGTCATCGGCATACATTCTAGGTTGTGAAAAATGCAAGCAATTAGGTAGGTCATTAATATACAGTAAAAACAATAAAGGTCCAAGAATTGTTCCCTGGGGAACACCACATGTAACTAATTTTGGGTTTGACATTGAGCAATTAATTTGGCAAGTTTGGGTACGATTGTTTAAATACGAAGTAAACCATTCGTGACAGGAACCGCGTAATCCATAATATTGTAATTTCGTTAATAAGATATGATGATCAACTGTGTCGAAAGCCTTTTTTAAGTCTAAGAAGACAACGGCATTGACAAGGCCACGATCAACGTTCACTGCCCAGCTATCGGTAGCTTCGAGTAATGCGGTTACAGTAGAATGTAAAGAACGAAAACCAGATTGGTAACGGGATAGAATACGATTCTCAGTAAGATAGTGATACAACTGGTCGTAGACTACCCGTTCAAATACTTTGGCCACGACTGGGATCACCGATATTGGTCGATAATTGGTGGGATCATTTCGTTTACCAGAATTTTTATACAATGGAGTAACCCTAGCCGACTTCCACTCATCGGGAAAAATTCCTGTCAACAGTGATTGATTAAATATTAAAGTAAGAGACTCGGCAATTAGATCAGGGCACTCCCTTAATAATTTAGCTGATATACTATCTAATCCAGTGGCCTTTGATTTACAAAGTTTTGAAAGGAGAGAATAAATATGAGCAGATGTTATTTCCTTGAAGACAAACTCCTTAGAAGTTCCACAAAGAAACTCTTTGTAGGTGGTATCAACATTCGAAACATTTCGACTAAGCCTTGGTCCAATCTCAATGAAGAAAGTGTTCAACAATTCAGCAACTTCTGCTTGATTGCTCGATTTTAGTCCCTGATATTGAATTTCATTTATTATTGTTTTATTAGATTTGCGGGAAGTCAATTCATTGATGGTCTTCCAGGTCTTACGTTGATCACCGGCATAATTATTAAAAGAATTATTATAATAGGCCTTTTTAGCAGCCTTGATTTCCTGATTTACTTTATTTTTGACCTTCCGGAATCGATTCCAAGAGGACGCATCCTTAGTTTTAACAGCTTTTTTCTTTAGCCGGTTTCTGAAATTCATTCGTTTTTTCAAATTTGTGGTAATCCAAGGAGACTTGGTGGGACGGGTGCGTTTAGTTTTCACAGGGGCGTGCTTATCACAAACACTTAGGAATAATTCTTTCCATTTTTTCCACATGTCATTGGGGTCGTACAGTTCTTTGATATCGTCCCACGGTTGCGTCGAAACATCATTACGGAAATTATTGCTGTTGAAGTGTTTAAATTGTCTATAGCTGATCAAATTGATTCCTTTAGAAACAGGCGGGATTGAAATTTTACGGTACGCGTAAACAAGACTGTGATCGCTTATACCCACGTGTGTCACCCCAGAACAGAGAATATTGTCTTGGTGACTGGTGAAAATAAGATCAATTAGGGTACTTGTTGAGGGTGTGACTCGAGTAGGCTCGTCGATTAATTGTTTTAAGCCATAAATATCGGTAACATTTAACAGAGCCCTTGCATAGATGTTTTCGCTGGACAGCAAATCGCAATTCATATCACCCATAAGATAATGTTCAACATTCTCGGAATCAAGTCTTGCTAACAAGGAGTCAATATTCGAGAAAAGGTCTATAAGTGAATTTGGCGGTCGGTACCACGAGGTAACAACAAAAGGTTTTGAGTCAGGTTTTAAAATTTCAATCGATAAGATTTCTAAAAGTTCGTTATCTAAATCCTCGCGGACTTCATAATTTATATTCGAACGAATATAGAAGCATACACCCCCACCAAATCTCCCATTCACGGTCCTGTAAATATAGTATATAGTGATTTAATTGCCGCCGCAGGGATTTCGCCCAGAAGGCAAAATCTCGAGGAGGCACTCTAGTATTAAACTTGCACGTATATTAAGGAAAGTACTTACAGCTGAAATAACCAGTCATACAGTCAATATAGAAAAAATCTTGATTTGCTTGAACAGGGGCTGCGAGGAATCGGTAGGTAATGATGACGTTTCTATTGTTTGCGCCCACAAATACGAAATGGTTAGGATGACGTAAAGACAGAACATCCCCAAGGAACCACTTAGGTAGATTTTGTGACATTTATTGTGCAGTCATACTTTGACACTCTTTTGCGTTAGGTGTTATCAGTGACATTCTGTGGAGCAGTTGTTTCAGTGAAAGTTATGGACCAAAATTTTAACGACACTCGTTAAGCGCAGAGGAAGTTATAAGGTGTGTATAACTGTGTATATATAAACACTTGGAGAGTTTGCCCGACACAAGTTCACAAATCTTTCATTGGAAACCTTGCCAGACTCTTTCTATATCTTTAACCGGAATAAGACTCAGCCCCAAACAAGTAAGATGAGTGAACAACGGCTAGCTTCTCACTAGCAGAACGATGGACGATTACAGAAATTCACTGACAATCAAATTCTGTGTTGACTAATTCCCTGCTCACAGACGTCCTTCCGCTATAAAGTTTAAAATGATAAGACTAGAATGTGCGAGTGTGAATTGATCAAACCTCCCTTTAATTTCTAAGACTTCCTTTCCGGCAAATAAAATGAACTGAATGTAAAAAGTGAAAGAGAAAGAGCAAAAAATTCAACTTCTAATTAAATCTTTTCTTATGGTTTAGAATAAACTATTCTCGAAACTGAGAATGTTTTGATCAAAGCTGTGTAAATCGACCTGAAACTGTGCATGGAACCTTGCGTTTCCTGTATTTATCTCACCTATTGTAAGGAATATGTGTGAAAATCTTCCTTATGAATCAGTATATTTCAAAGAGCTACACAACGAGCAAGAATGCTATTGACCAACAATATACAGAGCGGGGGCAGCTGTAGTACCAACTATTACTAGTATTAATTTGAATAGCCTGTATCCTTAATTGGATCCTCCTTTGTCTTGCTGGCTAAGTTGACTTCGGTCCTTACCCTTTAATGTGACCCTTAGTTCACCTGCAAATGGAGTTATGGGCTTCCACTACCTTATCACCTTAAAGGGGAAATTTTCCCAAAGGCCCATACCTAAAACATGTAAATCACATCTTCAATTGCCCCATTGCCAGTGTGGTTGTCCCCATGGTGTAGTGGTTATTACACCCAACTAGTTACCGGGAGAAAAAAATATAAATTACCTGAGATAAAAAATTAACTTTAACATATTGATTGCGATTTCTTTTCCTCTCCCCTACCATCCCTCTGTCAGTGTACCTGAAATCCTATAGTAACATGTGTTTCAGACCCCGCCTTTGATTTGTGTTGTGTGGAGAACATAACATTACGAAGAAAGAAACATTGAGGAAAATTAACTTGACTAGGGCATGAGCTATCCTGTGATACTGAAATCAGCACTGGTTGTCCAAAATTGCTGCTCAGTGCAGGATGAATATGTCTTGTGGACAATTTTAGCTTGTTACAAAGGTGGATCCACTCATCAGGATGAAAACAGAAAAGCAAAAATTGTACAACCCTTTTTTGCCATCAAAGAAAAACAATGCCCCTACCCCATAATCTTAACACCAACCCCCCTACCACATCTCCCCACCCCTGCCCCTGGTAACAAATGGTCTCTAACCAGGAAATGACCTTGTCAGAAATAATAAGAGATACGAATTTTCTGTGACGCCACGTAGGTAAAACGGGATATCAAGAAATTTATTGTCAAAAGATGTCATTCTCTTTGTCATTCTTTTTGACAGAACCGCCATGCACTTTAGCTAGTAAAAGCTTACATGGTACACTCGTGCATACATATTTGCTCATGTCATGAGGTTACACCCTCCTTGGCAATTTCCTCGTTCTTTAGCTTATCAGCTTCAAAACTGAAACAAGGATGTACTAGTGGCAAGACTAACTAACAGAAAATAATGAATCTCTAGGTTGATGTGCACTTTAAAAAGTTCAGCTACAGGCTAATAGCGCCCCCGACACCAAACAATTTGGCAATTTTGAGGACTTAATTGACACAAAAAGATTACCTCGTCATGTCGTAAAACAAGAAATGCACCTCCACCAGCCGAAGCTACAATGATAGCGAGGAATTTCGGATTAACGGCGCAGTATGGAGACTCTACAGAGTTCTTTGATATTCTGACCCCCTCGGCGTAGCAGTTTTCCTTCTTTGCTGCCGTTCCAAAAACATGACGGAAATTAGATGCTCTGACAAAACGAGCCATGCCTGCTTTGTTGGATGCTCTTTGGGAATATTTTCTTGGGGTTAGTTGTTCACTCTTCGTTATCTAAAAGGGAAAAACTCTGCAAAATACACACAGAGCCCGGCGTCATATGATGGTTGTGGTATTTCAGGGGAGGGGCGCAGGGGAGGCCTGGTGCCGTTCACATGATCAAATTTCCGGGACTCCTCAAGTAAGAACACATGGAAAGTCCTCTTCACTCCGGCCACGGGAATAATCGAGCTTCTTCCTTGGGAAGAAAAGTCATGAACGTCGACTTTGCGGTAAGAAAGTATGCTAAATGACAACTCATATCAATTTCAGTTTGCTTTCTATCAAGAAATGTATATTTTCTGTTCTAAGTTTTACCAAAAGCATTGGAAATGTGTACAGATAGTGGTGCGAATAACTGCTATCTAGCAGTGATTGCTTCGTTTATAAAGTTTCAAATCTTCCCGCGCAGGGCTGCTATTCTCTAGATATGTGGATATAATTGAGATTCGGGAAAATACTAGTAGTAATCGTATATGATAGGTTGAGGTTAAAGTATCTGTTGATCAAATGTGCACGGAAGTAACACAGAGTAAATAGACTTTTTCACGGTTTTTTCAACTTTTTATATGGACCTGGACCAGTTAGGGAAAATCCATCGACACCACTGAAAAGAGCGCTTTAAAATTAATAGAATTGCCAGTTTTGAAAGTGAAACCTCGAGGGAGGTTGTCTCTTATCGCGATTTCATTTTGTGCGCTGTCACTACTTTTTGGGCCATGTCGCTTGTCGAAATTTACCCTGGCAAGGCCTCATGCAAACGTCTGTAAAATTTCGCGACTTTGAGGAGCTGTATCTTCATTAGCATTCAATGAATCACTTTCAAACTTGGCAATTTTTCTCATTTTAAGGCGATCTTTTCAGTGGTGTCAACGGATTTTCCCGAACTTGTCCATGTCAAAAGTTGGAAAAAAAACGTGAAAAGGTCTACTTTCGAAGATATCTCCATGGCCAAAAGGGAGGTATATCTCAAACTTTAGGGAATCAAAAAGTAGTGGCTGGGCAAGAGGGAGTTCCATTTTCTGATGTCAAGAGATATCGATAATGTCGAAATTGAAATTCAGAGTTGTGTAATTTGCGCCAATAATATTAATGCAAAGTGTGTCATGCAAACATCAGAAAACATTTTGCACCATTGTCAGTGCATAGAATACAAATAATGTAGATTATTTCCAAAGCCGGGGAGATTGTAAAAAGGTCGCTAAACAGTCCAGAACTCTGTTTATTTTCTGCTCACACTGTTTCAATTTTCCATTCATCAAAACACTGTGCAATAATAATTATATATTAGGTGTCATTGTTAACTGTAAAGATATTCTTTTAGAAAAAAGAAAGGTAAACTTGCTGCATGTTAGCTTTTTTTGTTGCCTAGCATATGACCATGGTCTGCCCATGATGTAATAACTCAAGATGGTGCTAAAATGGCAGATGAACATTTGAAAAAAGCAAAGTTGTGAAAGGTCACTGTTGAAAGTTATGAAAGGTCACCGTTGATTTACAGAACATGACATTCACAGTAAGAGAAAGTGTATAGTGTTGTTTTCTTTTTCACCGTGAAAGGACATTTTTCCACAATGTCGTTTTCTAATTTTTCATTAGCCATATTTCCTGTTGTAAAGAAATAAGCAACTTGCATGTACTTCTACAACCAAAATCAGTCACCTTAAAAGTACACTCAAATTTACATGTAAAAGGACTGCAAGGGCTCATGTAAACATTTACATACAAGTTTTTTGCGTGGAAATCTGCACAAAATTTATGCGCGTGTAAGTGCTGCAATGCCTGTGGCCTGTACTGTATGCTGATGACAGATCTACAGACTCTGGTAGCCAACCACTTGAACTTTCTAACCTTCAGCTTTGTACAAAGAATGTCATGACTTGGAGCTCTTCAATGACCTCATGTGCAACCCTGGCAAGACTGAAGTTTTTCATCTCTTGTCATATTATGGCAATTGTGAGATACAGTGTAATTAGAGAGATCTGGGTTAATGGTGCCAGTGTTTTTCCAATACCTGCCGCTTAAGATCTTGGAGTGACTATAGGCAATAAGCTGCAGTTGGACAAACTTGTGAATAACAAAGGAGGTTGAATGAACAGTCTCCTTCAATTTCATCTCCTGTTCACATATCCAAACTAATTTCTTGTTACCAGCCAACGAGAAGTTTTAGATTTCTTCTATCTGTAATTACTTGTCGGTTACCAACTGCTCTTCTCAGTCATCATATGGGGATAGATCTTTTCTTCAGTGATAGTAAAATGCACATATATCAGAATTTAGAACTCTGCTGTAGCAAAACTTTGTTATTATGTGAATATATTAATTTGAAGGTGCCAGGTAAACATTATAACATTACTGGACATGTAGTAATAGAGATCTCTGCTTTTCACGCAGAGCAAGTCCAGAGAGGCTTTGCAGAAGCCCCTTCATCAAAGATGTGAAGAAATTGACAAGTTAATTGAGGGTTCCTCTACACAGGTAATTACTTATTGATCCTTTGATATAGGAAACTCTCCTGTGACATTACTTGCAGAGTTATTGTGTACAAGGAGTCTACTTCAAACATTTAGCCAAGTTGTTTAAAACTCAGTTCTAATCCTGGGTCAATTGTAATTTAAACCTGTGTTGTGCTTATCATGCTTTGAAAAACTCAGCCCTTTATTTCTACAGTACATCAAAGTTTTGACATTAGGTGTTCTATGGCCAACGCCATGCAGCAAGGATGTGCTCAACAACAATAAAAGAGGAAGGGAGCCCAGTGCTCTGAACCTGTCAAATTCAAGGGGGTGCAGAATTTCATTTTTATGAAAAATAATGATCTCTTAATCATCCAAGAGCAAAAGTAAGGCGACAGGGGCCACTGGGCACACTGCACATGAGCACAGCCCTAATGTGGTATGACCATGGTAAGTGTCTGTATTATCAGTACAATGTGAGCCAGGCTAAATACTGATTGTGCTTTCCTTTATCTTGCAGAATTTGCATGGCTTTTTTCCACAGCTTCTCAGTAACATCTTTGGCTATTCAGGCAACACAGATTGGGGCCTAAAAACTCTGTCTCGTGATAGTAGAGAGTTTGCCAATGTGCGCAAGTTTTTATCTCCTGGTGGTACAGTCTTCAAACTGATAGACTTACTTCAGGCTGATGATCAACACAGATATGAGTTCTTTATCAGTTGTCTTCCTGTAAGTATGGTTTATCAGATCAATTAAGGTTTCTTGGTACCCCTCCCCTAAGGCACCATTAACACTTCTCACCAAGGGAAAAATTGTGACTTAGGGGAGGGGTAGATGGTCAGTTATCCAGAAACCTCAACTGATCTGGAAATTCTTTGTTGAAGTGTGAAATCTGCTGTTTAATACATGTAACAAAGACTTATACATGCAAACATTTCTGTTTTACGGAATGTTTTACCCTTAAGTATTAATGTGACAGCTGTTATTTAGAAGCAATTTTTATGCAAAAAGTGAATTTTGTGAAAGGAAAATTGTAAGCACTGATAATTGAACAGCACAGCTTGCTGAAACTATTGCAATGTATTTGTTGCTTAGCTTTGTTGAATTGCATACAATGTAACTTCAAAACACAGCTGATTTGCATTCTATTCTTAAACAACATGTGAAACAGTGAATCATGGGGAGTGACCAGTCAAGTCCAGTCTTGGCCCTGTCTCAAATTTCACTTCCTGTCATACAATGTGCATTGCATGAAAGACGTTGGAAGAGACAGGGCGAGAACTGGATCAGATGCATGGTGGTCAGTGGCATGGTCAAAAGTATTGTTAACAGAAAAATGATGTAATCAAAACTGACTTGTCCAAATCATAGGTGTGACAAATGTTTGCAGTCAAATTCCCAGTTATTATTATGCTGGACATTGTCTGATGATAGGCTATTGTTTTCAGCCTGATATTAGTTAAAGTAACAAACCTTGAACCCGAACTTGGTTTGAGTTTCATAAAGCTTCAGAACCAGGACATCCAGATCTGACGCTGCAAGTGTTGACCACTCTTTGCCACTGCACCTCAAAGAATCACTAGACTTATTTCAGTCAGAGGCATATAAACCCCGAAGCGTCCAACTTCCTCTTATCTGTTTAGAACCATGCTGGGGTTTTTCGGCCGTCCAATCAGAAGCACGTAAACTTTTTAGCTCAAATGTGGAATCAGAGGTTTGAAGGCATCCCCATCTAAAAAGTAGCTAATTGTAAATTCTTCAAGTCCTTAAGGTGGCTCAATACAGTTTTTTTTTTTATTGGTTCTCAAGACCAGCATTGGAACAGAGTTATACTCTTCACGGCTATATGCTTCTGTTTTGATAAATTAATAATTATTGTAGGGGCACTTAGAATAAAACCTCCAAGTGACTTCTGATAAATTTCTAGATTCTTCTACCAATTTGTCATGTATGTGTATATATGTTACAGGCCAAATTAAAATTAAATTCAGGTTCAGTTCTTTTTTTACCCTAGCTTGATTCTCTATTTCCTTCGCCTCTTATCCCTAACTATTCATGAAATTTACCTTTAACATATTATGGCTCTGCAGATCTAAGAAGAATTTGATAATTTATTATATCAGGACCAATTTGACGCATTTTCCCCATGTCCCTTTAATTTCGTCTAAACCAACAACTTTGATTTTAAAGGGAAATTTGATTTGAAGGCACTGAAAGTACAGAGGCTGTACATCAATCCATGATTTTTGCAAGTCTGTTCTCACTGGTCCCTCTGGGTACTGTGTTGCAGTTACTGTAAATTTTCAGTTATTATTACGATTGTTTCTCTTTCAGTTTCCAACACGAGCATCATTATCAGAAGGTATGATTCCAGTTTTATATCATGACAAAGTACCAATCAGAACTCCAGGAGAAACTATCAATGCTGTTTTACTCAGTATCTTTTTAACATGTCAAGAATCCTCTACTCATGCTGAACTAGTACAGTAATTAACCCCTTCTTCAAATCCTATAGAGACATTGAAAGTACAGTCGACTCCTGATAACTTGAACCTTCAAGGGAAATCGGAAAAAGTTTGAGTTATCAGTAGTTTGAGTTATCGGGAGCTTGAAGAAAATAGCCGGAAGTAAGAAAAAACAGTTTTTATCATACAGGAAACATTTTAAAACTTGAAAGATACTTCTAATTTTAATATAAAGCTGTTCATGTTAGATTTGTGACAAACATGTATGCCTACAGCAAGTCAATGGGAAATTCAAAATTCAATGTTTCGGATGCCAGTACACTGTTTTGTCGCAACTTAAACGCTCAAAACATGGTTCAAGTTATCGAGGCTAAAACTGTATAGAAATGATCCGAGAGGAAACAAAATTACTTCGAGTTAGCGGGAGGTTTGAGTTATCAAGGGTTCGAGTTACCAAGGGTAAAATTACAGAAAATGTATAAAGGAAATCCAGGGGAAATTGATTTTGATTTGAGTTAGCGCAAGGTTCGAGTTAGCGAGAGTTCAAGTTATAGGAAGTCAACTGTTCATATAGTGTGAGTTGCCTCACTTGGTGAAACCAATGATTATTGGATGAGGTTGAGTATCATATAAAGAATTATGCAGATCAAAGAGGGTTTTATCAGCTAAGATGTAAAACAGCCTCAGAGATCTGCATAGCAAAAAGATATTCTTCATAACAAACAAAAGCCAAATCCAACTTGCTTTTCTCAATTGAATTAAATTGTCCATTTTCATAACACCTGCCTATTCATCAGCAGTTTCGGGATATAAAACGGATGTTTAGTCTAGTGATATTTTTTGAACAGCAGCTGTCATGTGTTGAGTGTTATTTTTGCTTTTCTTATTGCATTTTTAGTGCAGCTATTTTTTCTGTGCAAAACATGTCAAATCCCCCCCCCCCCCCCCTGCTGTCCCTTTTCCTGTTGATAGTTGTACGCTTGGCAACAATCATACTGATAAAGGCAATTTCAAATAATAATTTTATTGTTAATTGTCTTCCATATTTGTTTATTGCATGCTGGTTATAAAGAATTAGGCAGGGAATTTAAGCTAATCAGAAATCAAGAAATCTTTTTAATGAACAATGGTAACAATAGAGAGTCTTGAAGTAATGGCTGGTTAACATGTGAAATCTTGACTCATGTATCAGGGCTCGACGTTGCGACCCGTGGGGTCGCCAATGCGACCAGCTTTTACTCAGTGGCGACTAAATTTTCACGCCTGGTCGCCAACCTGGCCCCCACGATAGGTGACTTTTTTCTTTGGGTAAACGTACACTAATGATAATTTGTTATCCTTTACACAACTAACGGATAGCTAACGGTTTTTCTTAAGCTCTAACGTTTTGCCCAAACCCTCTAACGGTTTGTCTAAACGTTTTAACGATTCGTCTAAAGGCTTTAACGATTTCTTCCAACAATCTAAGCTACGTTTACTTGAAAGAGGATTGTGAAATGAATTAATTCGACGGAAGACTTATCGACTTTCGTACAAATCGATCGCAATTCTCAACAGATCGTCCCGTGTTTCTCCGGGAATGACTTTTAGCGCATCGATATTTAAAACAATTTCTTTACGTTGAAAATGTATCTCGATTGCGGACTCGATAGCAGATTAGTCTGATAGAAGCTCAAGCTAATCGAAGCTAATCGAGAACGAACGGCGCTTACTTCTCGAGCTTCGCAATTCTTGTAAACAACTTTACGCAAATTTCTGTTGAGCGTGACGACGTAAATAAAAGCTCTGCCGTATTCTATTGACTTCTAATTAAGTAAAGTTGAAGTCATGCTGTTTGTCTAACAGACTTCTCGCGAAATCAACTTCTTTGCCCGAAAACATTAGCAACGTTTCCTCTTTCTGGTCTTTCTGGAGACTTTCGATCACGTGTTAGGCAACCGCGCAATAGATGAAGTTTCACCGATGTTCAGTTCTGAACATGCAAATACATGGGACGCAAAACAAATTTGCAGATTTTGTTCTTTCATAATCCAAAAAAGTTTTTTTGTGATTCCTAAATTTTGTTTTTTTAATGTGTATTCCATTTCCTGAACCTTAAGCTTGAATACCTGTTTGAGGAGATTTACGCTTGAGTGCGGATTCATTTTACAGAACACCGGCTGGTAATCGAGCGTCAGCGAAAACCATTCGAAAGAAAGTTCAAAGGAAGTCTAAACCATTCATTTTCTGTTAAGGCTAAGTTAAAGATGTTAAGTTTATTTTATCCCATTAGTTCTTAAATATAATTTTTGGCGACTAGAATACTTGTTCTGGCGACCAAAAATGAAAACTTGGGGGCCAGTTGGCCCCAAGATTTTTTTCTGAAAGTCGAGCACTGTGTATACCCTTCCGTGTAATCTGTTTATTAGTTTCCTCTCATCCCTAGGATAGTCCAGTGAAGACCATAAATACCGATGGGCTTTTTGACTATGTAATATTGTAATGATAAGAAGTGTGTTTTGGAAAGAAAGCATATAGATTTTCAGAGTTGCACTTGACTATCTGCTAGATACATTTGAATACTACATGTTTCATTTTGCCTACTACATTGTTTATCATCAGGCACACAGGGTAAGCTATCTATTGGAGTGTGAAAATTAGTTATAATTGTAATAGTTATTATTAATATCATTGCTATTATTATTTAATTATGATATAAAAGTGATGGAAAATGGCTGATGCAAGTAAGCAAAATTTTACATTCCTTTGCTTCGACTTCTTTCAACATTATTTAATTTTTGTTTTTTGTTTCAAAAATATATGCTTGTCAAAATAATTTAGTGTTATTAACTTTGAGCTGTACTCATGATTCAAAACACACCAGTATCATAACTTAGACCATTTCCCTTCATGACAATTATTATCCTTGAAGAGGTTTTGATCAGTCTGTACCATGTGCATTCTGCATTATACATTGATTGCATTTATTACATATCATAATGATTATTACAGCAGGAATCCAGTGTGAATCCAGCTCAGGACTACCTGTACCTAGTTGTTCTGGACGACTACCTTGACTTCTTCCTGCCTTCAGATGGTTCAGCAATTCCCTTGAACAGCATGAAGGCTAAGACATCTGTTGGATTGGGAAGGAATGTTCCTTCATCTCGGTAAGTCTAATTTTAATTATGTGTGTTAACCTTGTTGTGTATCTGGCTTAAGGTGGCTCAGTAGGGTTTTTCAGGGTCAACACCTCCCAAGTTTGAGCATAAACTACATCGCTATTAACAATAAAGTAAGATTTGGAAAAATTACCACCACAGCTATATGAGTTATAAATGGAAATTTGTTAAGATCAGGGTTACAACGACGTCGGAGTTGTCATAGCAATGATATGACACCATTACATACTTAACTTGCAGCGGTATTTCTCAGCACTGGGAACTGTTCTTCTAAAACTGTTCGTGGGCCAGCTTTTTCCTCTAATAGCCACGTCTATGTTCATGCACTTTAAGCAAAATCTGTAAGATCATTATCGAGATATTTTATTTATGGTTAGAGATATTGTCAAAACTGGACAATCTTGATGTTCAGCCATTATTTGTAGAAAACAAAGCACCTTTTGAAGTGCAATTTCTCAGGCTCATACTAGTTTCAATCTTTCCAAAAACTTGTGTGAAAGATCATAGAGATAGCTTTAGCCGATTTCTAGAAAGAAGGATTTGATTAGTATGTATGAAGGCTCTCCTTGTTAGCAGTTTTGTAAACATTTTGGCCCACTTTAACAAATAAGCACTTTCACTACGATTAGAATACCTAAACCAAACTACACCAAAGTGTAACACAGAACCTTGATATGTGATGCTGATCTGATATGATGTTATGTGATATCAAAGCAGCACAGCTTTGCTCTGTAACAAAACTTGCACCAAAAACACCTTTCTTATTTTGTAAACAGGAACACTATCCATTATGTTTTTCATGCCGGCCCAAGAGCTATCCATGAGTATAGTAAGAACATAGCTTAAGTCTCTGTGGTACTTGTTCTACAAGTGCTTTATATACATTCTGAAAGGGACAGCATTGAATGTACTTCCTTGATGTAGTTTGTACTTATGTTATCTCTTTCTTTCTGTCATTTGTCCAGGCATGACTCAAGTCATTATGCAAGAACCCATTATTTTCAAAATCAGTTTAAAGGTTTGATCAAACCCACCCCAGGCAGAGCTAGTCCACCTACTACACATCATGGAATGCTAAATCATGGCTCACAGGAAACCTGGAGATCAGAAACATTTCTTCAAGTTAGTAACAAACAAATGGGGAAGATTCACATTTTCATCAACGTTTTTTTGAATAACAAATTTTTAATAATTTATTATATGATACTTATGATATGGTATGATATGTACATATACGATTGAGAACGCTTACTCTATAGTTTACTCGTAGTAACTTTGAAATAACAATTATTTCAAAGTTACTACAAGTAAACTTTAGAGTATCTCAATCGTATATGTACATATCATAATATCATATCATAAGTATCATATAGTAAATTATTAATGAATATTTTAATCAAAACAATTATTGTTTTGAATGTTTAATTGAGTGAATGTTGAATATTAGTGTAAATGTTTAGTATTCTTGAATTTTTTTGGAATAAATTATAATCACTGATTAATGCTTTTGGTGAACTTTCCAGATTCTCATAGAATTCTGGCTAAATCAGAACACAGCAGACTCCATCTCAAGAAATGTTCTTTCACGTGGACAGGTAATTACGTGGCAACTAAATAACCTTTAGGTCAAACTACAAGTGTATTGAACAGTAATTTGATATAGCCCCAATCTCAACCTTTCTTGGACTTGTCATGTCTCAGACTTCAGAGCATTAGTCCCCAGTTCTATTAATAGAACCGAGGACTAATGCTCTGAACTCTGACACTCAACAAGTCCCAGAAAGGTTGTGATTGCGGCTATATCATATTATTGTTCAAATTTTGCAGTCAGAGTCTAACACAGGGTCTTAAAATTGATAACTATGGTAAGTAGAATTTGCTGCCTTTGTTTTTAATCTGCAAATGGTATTATCTAGTCTTCTTGGACGATAAGGGCAACAAACTGTATGCCCCATCACACATAGCCTACATCACAGACATAATCTAATCCAAGCTAATTATGTCTGCAAATTAAAGTAGTGTCCAGATCCTTATTTTGGATGCCTTACAAAGTCAAAATGAATTACCGGGAGAGCGTTTTGGATTTACCATTAAACTGATCGGCCAAATGAACAATGGTTTTTCCAACAATCATGGTGCATACTCAAATCCTGGCAAACAGCTTGGGGCCCAGAACACTTTTTTGGCGCTTGCTTGCAGATGGAATTAACCAGAGGTCTAGTTTCATCTGTGGCGTATGCTGCATCTCACAGCTCCACACGGAACTGACTCTTAAGGGACGTGGGCCTGGTGTGTAAAAGGGGTTGATATCAATATTATTGGGATTCAATACTTGTTTCATTTTCTGTCACCATGTCAATTCACTGTGCTAACATTACCAATTTACAGAAGCAGGATCGAGTTACATCATACTTCTTGATAATGATATGGTGCATAATTGTTTGATAAACAGTGAAGGATATTTTTTGAATTGTAGGAGTATTTCATGCCAACGTTAGACCATGTGCGAGTGGTGAGGATATTAGTGAAGCATGTCCATTCCTTTGTGTATGCCAAGGGACCTGATATGGATCAACTCTCTGTTCTTCACCCTTATGATGATCTAAGGAGGTAAAATTTTACCATAACAGATAGCCTTGAATCAGAGTATTCAAAAACTGCAGAATTTGAACTTAAGAAAAACCTTATGGCTGAGAAGGTCCCTCCCAAAAAAGCTGTCCTATTTGGGACTTGGATACCCATATTTTTCACATTTTAGAACAAGACAGTAATCAACCTTTACTTCCATAAATTGCATGTGACTGGTACAGAATTAATGCTAATTTAATTCTTTCTGTGGCCAGTGTTAGGATTAATATACTTAACATTATATACATCCATCATAAAGACATTTCATGCAGTTTAAAAAAAAATCCTTTACAGTGTGGCCATTCCCCTTTGGCAGTTACTTTTACTTTAATTTTATTGTTGTTCAGGGTGTTTCTGTCTTGTGATTCTGTGATTGCAATGTAATTTTGTGACCGCTCCCTCTGTAACCAATCAATATTATGAAACCACCACAGTTTTGTTGTACTTTCAAAATAGTGCTTAATATACTGTCTTTTTTTTTAAACCCTTTTTAATGTATTGAAAATCAAAATTTGATTGTGGGCTGATAGCACTCTTAGAAGTGAAAGGTTATTTTCATAACCTTTCAAAAATAATCACACAACTATGAATCACAATGAATTAGTGGTACTTGATAAATAGTCTGTGTGACAAAAGGAGACACCAGTTTACTATATGTTGTAGTTAATTTTTATCTGAGGTAATTTTTCTTTTTCTTTTGTTTTTGGGTACAGTAGGCGGGGTAGTGTATGCTAATGAAATTGAAACAAAAGAAAAAGAAAAATTACTCGAGATGAAAAATTAACAACAACAAATATGTATTCCATGCAAAGTTGATTTTACTTTGGCATGGATTGCTGCTTACATTCTTTTTCTTTACTTTTACTTTTTCCTTATCATTTAGGGCCATCATTCCTCAGTTTCTTCAAAAGAAATTATATCATTTTCTACAGCACTGTTTTTCACATTGGCCACTGGACCCCAACTTCAGATATGTGAGTACAAATTATTTTAATTATCCTTTCTATATAAAGAGTCTTTTCACCATCATGTCATCAAATTCTAAAATCAAAATAGCGAGGCCGCTCTGAATTCTTATGTATACCTGGTTGAAGGTGACTGATCACATAGAAGTTTCCAGTCTGTAGAGTCTTTCATTTTGGAAATACAGCATTTTGAATTTCCAAATATTCACAGCGCGTGGCACCACAGTGGTAGCCCAGACAGAGGTGTCTGGTTAAATAAAAGCTCTCTCCTTATGATTTTCAGCGGTTTTTTTCATTTTAAGCAGTACAAATGTGTTTATGCACATATTAATTAGTTTACAAGCAAAAAGAAAGCACTTTTATCACAAAAGTGACCTCTCAGGAAATAGCTCTTATTTGTGATTGGTCACTTTGTAAAAATTCAAGGAGTGAAATTATGGGTAAATTCTGTGTTGTGTAAATGGTAGGGGTGCACATCAAGAGTCGTGTTGAAAAAGTTGTGGGTTTTTTTTTTGTGGAAAATCTGGTCCCTGTTATAATAATTTATCTTGGTCTTTTACTATAGTAATTTATAAAATACTGGTAACTGAGATAGTACGCGCACTCTGATTGGCCAAGAAGCATGTTTAAGTGAGACTATGCAAACACAGTTGATATATCGAGATGTTTTGCTTTCCATGCACTTATCACACAAGCATGAATTTGAAAGAGGTTTTGAGGTGAAAACTGGACAAGTTTACTTTGTTTACCCTTTTTCCTTGTCGGCTGAAACTTGAAAAATCTTCACAAACATGCTATGTCATTTTTTTTGCTGACATTTTAAGCAAGAAAAATCCATATTTTTGAAAGCATCTTTTTCGCAAAACAAGAACTGATTATGCGTACAAAACTTTGTGTACAACACTTTGCAACTAGTAAGAATTTCTCTTTCAAAGAGTTTTGTTTTTTTCTCAGAAAAGTAATTTTGTAAAAGCAATAGAAAACTTTTTTCCTATGTTTGCATAGCCTGATATAAACACTCAAGAGGTTGGGAGAATTCTTGACAGTTATGCAAACCCTTGACTTCGTCTCGGGTTTTACATACCTGTCTTGAGCCTCTCTCATTTTTATATCAGGCAATGCAAACACAGAAAACGTTTTCTGCTGCTTCAGTGGCACTTATCGTTCTTATCAGTACATGGAGACAGTAGTAATCAGTGCATGTTGGACTTTTGTCATATATTCCAGGTTTTGGAGACCTGGCTGAGTTACATTCAACCTTGGAGGTATTCAAAAGTTCTCAATGCAACATCCATTGAAAAAGATGATGACTCCAGAGAAATGGCAAGTCCTGTATGGTAAGCAAAATGTTAATTTATGGCCCTTCCAACCTTACTCTCTATCTCTGTTAGGGAAAGACCTCTGGTAACTTAAAATCTCTAATGCCAAGAAGCTCCTGTTACGTGAAGTATAGTTACCAGAGGGGACTGGCTATGAAACTGGAAAAAAAGTCAAAGGAGGAAAAAACAATGCGCGGTAATTTTTGCCTGTTGTCCTTCAAAGCATTTTGAAATTAACAAATGAAGTAAAGATGAGGCAATTCACTACTGTTAAAACTTACAGTTAAAAATTCAAGCTTTTGTCCATCAACAGCATGTTTAATTACTGCAAACTAAATGACATAAGTTTTAAAACTCTTTGTCACCTTTTTGGCGTTATTAACCAAAGCATATCAATCACTTATCATTAATTCAACCAACAAGGTAGTATCATGTCATCCTAGTCATCCCAGTCATATCTTAGCCATCCCAGTAGCCCCAGTCATTCCAGTCAATCTTCTCATCCCAGTCATCAAAGTCATCCCAGTAATTCCAATCATTCCTAAACATCCCAGTATCCTGGGGCCTGTTTCTCCAAAGTTGTGGTATTCTAGCCATCACAGTCATCCCGCTCAGCCTAGTCATCCTGGTCATCCCTTGTTATTCCACTCATCCTAGCCATCCTCACCCCAGTCACCCTAGTGAAAAATATATTTAAAGAAACAAGCAAAGTTAAATGAGTTGAGGCAAACTCTGCTTCTTGAAATATAACCTTTTATGGTACTATTCTTTTTGTTGAAGTAATGAATACAAAAAAAACTACAAATTACTGAAAAATACTACAAAACACAAAACATCCAAACAAATTTTTATGTACTCTACGTGGATTACGACCACACACAAAAAAAACAGATTAACATAGAAACATTCACAATGCCATCCAAAAAAAGATAGAGACATTGTTACTTGCAAATTTTCATGAATAATTATAAACTTTCAAAATGTAAAGTTGAGATGGATATGGAGGAGACTCCATCTATGAGCTTACAAATGGCAAAAAATTCTTCTACTGCTTTAAATGTGTAGTTAGTTTGTTTTGCCTGTTCACAGTAATTGTCTTCTTTACTTGATAAAGTGCATTGATCTTGGCTTTGTCTCAAACTGCAAACAAAATCTCTCTTATTGTAAAAAATTGTAGTGTTATCTCACATTCACAAGCCAACTCATCTTAGTCGTCCTTGGTACTCATTCCAGTTATTTTATTTTCCTTATTTTTCTTTTCTTTTTATTTCTTACTGTCGACTTTTTCAGTTACATTCATCTGTATCACGTGCGTACAGGTGGCTACACTCTTGTTTTTATCCACCCATTGTGACTGAAAAATTAATACTACATTTTATTATGGTCACTCAGTTCAAATTGGTAGGAAAGCGATTGAATGTTTCCCAAAATGCAAAGAAAAATGAGTCATTAGTAAGTGTGTAGAAGCTACAAATTTCATTGTTTCCAGAAAGTATGAAGATTATAATTTTTTCGTATTAAATTTTTTTTGTTAATTTTTTTGGGGGGAGGGGGTGGGGGGATACTAATTTTATGTTGGTACAAGTACCAAGTTGTCTGGTGTGCAGCTTGCTGTTAATACATTATGATAAGATCCTCAACATGTATTACATTTAATGATTTAGCAGTCTACTTGTATTCTTTTTTCCAGGAAAACGTTTGTATTTGAGAACCTGTTGTTCTACTGTGCATTATTGTTTGAGTTTGTGTCACGAGCCTGTCGCTTCAACCTTTGTTCTGCTAAAGATGCTCAGCTGTTGTTTAGAGTTCTGAAGGTAGGGGTTGTTGAATTGTTTTAAGAACCTCTGCAATTCAAACCGCTATGGCAGGGTATTTATATAATGTCTTAAATGAGTCTTTAATAATCTTTCCAAGGCTGGGTGTGCTGTCACTTTGTCAGTCTTTTCTGAGGCCGCCTCTCACCTCGTAGGTGAGGGATAATATCGCTGTTGGTTCAGCACAATTTTTGTTACACTCGATTTTGGAATTTATGGCAGATAAAGTGCCTGGAAAGAATTAACAGTTATTGCCTATTCTTCCTGGAGGGACTGTTCTTCAGACATTAGAAAACGATTTTTAAAAAAACAGCAGAAAACGTTTGGAAATGATGGAAGAGAGATTGTTATTTCAATGCCAAAACAGTAAAAAATCACTTAAAAAATAGATTGTCGCTGTCAATTCTTTCCTCCTTTTCTGTGGATTGTCAGTGCTTTCTGAGAAGATTGTTGCCATTTTCGGGGGGCCATGACACCTGTTGCTTCCTCCCCTTGGAAGGCCTCTTTAATTTAATGTCCTGTTAGAACAAGGACTAGAACCCTCAGAGATCTTAATGTTATTAGTATTAATAATTTCCTAGGTTGGCCTTGAAAATTACATTTTATGGTGATTTTGTGTTATGTTATTTCTCGTGAAAAAAAAAACTGCCCAACCTTGGGGATAATAAAAAAGTATTTTTGGAATATCTGAGGATACATACACCGTTCATGCATACAAGGAACTATTTTTTATGTTTTCTACTGTCTGATCTGTTAATGGAATTTTGCTTTCTTTCACTGTAAACTCCATAGCTTGCAATGAAACTACGATTTAATGAAGTATGCCATCATTAGTAATTCTTAATAGGCCTCTGTCTTAGCTTACTTTCTTTTTTATCAGGTATTTGCTCAACCGCATTTGGTGGAAATGGTTGAAGAAGGTGTGTATTTCTATTATAATAAGGACGATGACAGCCGTAAGGCATCACTAATAAAATGTATTTGCGTTCTTTCAAACTTCATCATTATTATTCCATCCCATTTAACTTGTCGGTGTAGGCAAAATTAAGGTTTTTTCAAGCTGCATAATTTTTTTTTCGCTAACATTTTCCTAGCCTTTGGACACAAACATATTTCTGGTTGTCACTTTGGAGAGAAGTGATGACCATAAATAAGTCTCTATCCACAGGCTAACATTTTCCTTGCATGAATTTTTTTAGGGCTACTCCGTGTCCATGAATTTTTTTCATAAGATTTTCCATTGCACAAATATTTTTTTGTACATCACCCGGCCCCCATAACTTTTCTAATTGTCTGTCCCTTATTAGCAATGCCCTACTCTTTGCGGTTACTTCTACAAATAAATTTTTACCTGGAGACATTATTTAATACCTGAAACAATACTTGCAAGGCATCATTTCTCCCGTATGAAAAATATTTGCAGAGACAACAAACTAAGAGAATTCTATTTTAAACTCTTACACGGAATTGTCGTCCCAAAAGAGAACTGTTCACGTATAGTATTGCAGAAAATGCGCTTTGTCCTTACTGCAGACAAAATGATTCAATAATTCATACTTTTTGTAACTGCCACTGGACCAAGTGGTTTTTTTCAGAAGTAATCAAATGGTTCAACGTCGAGAATGCCACCTCCTTTGCGCCATCCTCAAGTGAATTAATTTTTGGTCTTAATAATGACAGAAAGAATCAAAGCTCTTCGTCAATTGTCAAAAAGCTCGATTTTACTCTTTTGTTTGCTAAATATTACTTGTACATAAATAAGTTAGCTCCTAAGGATTTATCTTTGGATGAATTTAAGGCTAAAATCAGTTGGAGATACGATTTCGAAAAAAGCCCGTCCTTCAATTAGTTAGTAAGTATCCATCTTACCGGAATAATCTGTTAATTAGCAGGTCTATCATTATTGTGCGTATTATTACAACTGCTGTACTATCTTTCTCGTCTTTATGTAATTTTGATCCAATCTGTAATATCGATATATACTTTCTTTAGTTTTAAATTTTGCAAATGTAATATATGTTTTGTCAATAAACGTAAAATTATAAAAAATATATATATATTTAATGGAGCCTTAAGAACGTGATTTTTCTCTGTTTTAGGAGAGAAGGCTTATTTAATGCCGTCAGGGAGTCACCGTAACACCCCTCTGACAAGCCTTGGTACACCCAGCTCAATAATCAAGAGTCATATAATGGACCTAGAAGGACCATCATACTCATTCAGGTCACTCTTCCATCTGCCTGGAGCAACCAAGGTCAGGTTTTCAACTATGTTATTTCAGCTCTTTCTTATTGCTACATTTATTTTTGGTTAATGTTTTGGCATTTTGTGTCATCCTTCATGTGAGGCAGTCGTTCTACCCTCCAGCCTCCTTTAAGGGGTAATAATTCTGATTTCTTTGTGTTCTGCCGCATAGATGGGTGAGCTTCACTCAAGAGTGTTAGCCGCGCTCGATGAGGCTACCAACAAGAACCAATCTCAGCAGTCACCTGAGGACAATGAAGGCTTTTTTGCTGTCTTCATGAGAGCCCTCAGAAGTGACACGTCCCACGGAAGTGAATTTGATAGAAATGCTGAGGAGGGAACACTTGTTTCGTACCTGAAAAAAAGCTGCGAGTTTATTTCAAAGATTATTAGAGTAAGTAGACACCTAACCTTGAGACTTTCATTATTGTGGGGTAATGTTTACAGTGCTACTACTCGAACCGGCGCACTTGGAAGAAGATTATCCAATCACAACGGTTTTCGAAAACAAAAGATACTCAAGTTTTTTTGCAAACAGACCAATTACTTTTATGAATTTGAGGGCTATTTCCTGAGAGGTCAGGCAAGTTCAAACTTACGCAAAGCACAGGGATGAGGCAAAAGTGTTTTGACCCTCGATCGTTGTCGCCCGCAGTCTGTGACCTTCGTTTATTACTAGTATTTTTGTTTTGGCCATTGTAGATTTTAGCACCATTAGTAGCCTGTTGCAGGTGTTCCCTCGTTTTTTTTCCCCTTATTTTCCCCACGTACAATTTTTAACTTGCTCCCCACCGTCTGAACACCGCGCTCTACTATCTGAACGCCTGGAACAGGCTACAGCATTAGCCGCAGCTTAAACAGTGCCAATGCACATTGTGCTGAAGCTATGAAAATCACACCCATCATTCGCCACTTTTACATTGCCCATAATACACTTTTTTTGGATCAATGTAGGTTTGTGGGGAACTTCCCACCTACCCCTCCCCTTTTCCAACGTTAGCACTTACTTCTAACTTAGAGCAACATGTTGGATTAGGGGAGGGGGAGGTGGGTAGTTTACCTTCCCCCCCCTCCCCTCCCCCCAAAAAAAACATGCATAGCAAAATTGTTTTTGCCTACTTTTGGAATAACTGCAATACACAGGAGAAATTGAAAACAATTCTTATGCAAAATTATTTGGGGGTAAACTAGGTCCATTATGGGAAATCTGGAAGTGGCCAATTTTAATACTTCGTAGGGTTCCCTATCCTTGACCATCTCAAAAACTAATATTTTTGTCTTTAGTCTGCAGATTCTATTGATGGCAGTATATTAAACAGTTCTATTCAATGGGAGACAACTTCACCTGGTGCTGTAAAGAGGAATGTGTCATTAGCTAGTAACCAGTCTTCCTTGCCAGATCATGTTGAAACTGATAATGGGCCTGTACCCACTCCCCTCGGACGGTATCAAGTAGGTGCAATTTTCCTGTGCTTTTGGCTATGTTCACACGATACCGGATAGCTTTTCATGGCGTCACGAACAACTATTCGCAGGAACATATAACCCGGAGCGAGTAACTCCCATACTAGGCCTATGTCATGGCGTTTTTGCGGACCAGTTTATTTTTAGACATTTTAGGGCACTTTTCCCCGCGAAAACAGAATCTCCACCAAGTCTTTGAGCGCATTCGAAGTATAAAAAGGAAACCTAAACGTTATTAAAAGGTAGCCTGTTCACAGACCCTCTATTTTCTCTTGAAAGTACGTCGAGCGCGGGTGATAAAATGTAAACCGCAAGAGATTTATTGACCGCCAGCGCAAGGGGGTATATTTTTCTTTCTCGCGAGCTCGCCGATGTTTTTGAAAAGAAAAATAAAACAGCGTCTGTGTACAGGCTATTAAAAGGCAAAAAATGTCATTTTTAGGTCTGTAGGTTTTGCTGACTGGTTTGTGGAATTTAAAAGATATTCAAAATTGGCGCCAAAAACGTTCTTAAAATAAACTGGTCCGTGAAAACGCCGTGACACGAGCGCATGGAAGCTGCTCACTCCGGGTTATGGGCTCCTGCTATTCGGTATGGTGTGAACAGCAACGGCCGGGGTAGGATGCTTCCCAGCCGTTCTTTGTGTCGTCACGCAACACTTCTTCTCCTCCTTTTTCTCCTCCTCGTCCCCCTCTAGGTGCACTAAATTCTGGTTCTCAATCCTTAATACTGTTTTCGGTCTCAGTTGGATGCGGTCCTCGTTCCAACTTACTTCCGCGACGGGCCGAATAGGTGTTCACACTACACCAAAGTATGGCACAAAACCAATCCGATACGTGACGCCCCACTTTCAAGGTCGGCACGACGCAGCTTCGCTCCGTCATAAAAATAGCGCCGCCACAACCGTTCTACTTCTTTGTCGCGTCCAAGTTTCAAATAAACGCCGCCCGCAAATAAGCACCGCCCTTGAGTAAGCGTCAAATTTGAGGCGTGAAAAATGAAATAAGCACCGCGGCGCTTATGAGAGTGAATACTGTATCTCCTAGCCATAGTCAATTCAGTCATTATTTGATTCTACGATTTTCATCGCACTTGTCATCCCTTAGACGGACATTTTTGTTTTTGTAGATGATAAATGGCCTTCGCAAGTTTGAAGTCAAATACAGTGGTGATCCTGAACTTCAACCAATCTGTAGTTATGAAAATCCAGCATTGGTGCGCCTACTGTACAAGCTCTCCACACATTTAAATGAAAAGGTACATGTTATCTTCAGACTTAAGCTAAGTGCAAACGGATGCAACAAGTCCCAACAATATTGGTACCTGCAGTGCATCGTGGGAAGGATACAACCCCTAAGACTTTGGAGACCATGTGTCATGC